CAGTGGTGATAAACTACTACTGTAGCCACAGCTGCCCTGGGGCACACTGACAGAAGCAAGGCAACCATTTACACACACCAGACTCATTCTAGGCAATGTGGGTAATGTGTCTTGCCAAGGACACAACGATAGCAGACGACAGTGGGAGTTGGTGGAGAAAGTCTTGTGGTGGGCTCGAACCCATGACCTTCTGGCTCACAGCCCAATGCTCTACGGTCGGCACTAGATCATATACGGAATCGGGACGAAACCGGAAGTAACAATCCTACTTTCAAAATAATTTTAGACTAATTCGTCCTTAAATGGTGACTGGTTAAGTTTTAGGTGTTTAAGTAAGATGGTTAAGGTTAGGGTTAAGGCTGGGTTGGGGTTATTTTATAGGAATGGCTGGTTAAGTTTAGGCATGAATAGGTAGTTTGTTATTTTTACTTCCGCTTCCGTCCCGATTCCGTATATGATCTAGTGCTGACCAATGCTCTACCAACTGAGCTACTGTCGCCCTTGAAGGAAGCACTGAAGAAGCATGTGCAAGAATGAGGACTTCACCACTGCGTGTGGTAGACAGGTGTGTGGTCGGAGAGTGTTGGGGCCTGTACCAAGTGGGTGTGTTGTGTTGCGTGTGTGTGGATTGTGTTGAATGAGTGAGAGTTTTTGTGTTGTATCATGTTCATTGTTTATAATGTTTTCTGTTGCATTACGTTTGACTCTTACTACACTACAACGGCAACTTGTTCCGCAACACATCTTGGTTTTTCAAGCGTAACGGTCCATGTTTTGATCTTCAAGTCATTTCATTTTCAAATACATTTCAAGCATCTGTTTCATTACAAAGCTCTAATCTCTCACAGTAGCTTATTGCGGCTTGATCCTATCGTTGCACAAAACAGAATCCATGAGTTCCGCACATATAAAAAACAAAATCATTTTTCTCTGCTCCCAGCTCACCCCTGTCTCTCCAGGCGGATACGCTTTCTCTTGGCATACACAACATTTGCCTCTGTACTTGAAAGCCTTAAAATTACTTCCCCCTTCCCACAAACAAAAACAAAAAAACCTGGCCTTGGATTTGATTTGGGATTTTAAAAACAAAAATCCCACATTGCAACAGTCATGGGATCTGAAGGCAACACGCGCTGAGGGCCACGTAACGCACACAGCAAATAAAATTATCTCCAAAAAACAAAAAACCTCTCTTTTATTTTCTGCCTCTCGTGAACGATGTCGCGGCTGTGATTTACAAGCACTGAAGTTTTTTCGGCTGTGAGATTAAAACGCACATGGGCCAATCTCCAGAAACGCTGCTTGGCTCTGGCTTTGGAAGGGAAAATAAAAAATAAAAACTTTAATGGTAATTTATGCCGTCTGTTTGCGCAAGATTGTTTGAACGCCAGCAAAGAGACGTTTAGGAGAGAGCGAGGAGAGAGGGGAGCGGCGGTCGTACTGTACTTGAAACGTACAGTATAATCTTTTAATTAGACTTCCACAGACATCTGACCACAAAGTTAGAACGTAGTATTTGCCATTTGATGTGAGGGAGTTGTATAGTGTTGTGTTGTCGGTCTGCCCCCAGATCTACAGCCTGAGTCCTGGACCTACAGCCTCAGCCCTGGATCTACAGCCCCAGTCCTCGATCTACAGCCTGAGTCCTGGATCTACAGCCTGAGTCCTGGATCTACAGCCTGAGTCCTGGATCTACAGCCTGAGTCCTGGATCTACAGCCTGAGTCCTGGATCTACAGCCTGAGTCCTGGATCTACAGCCTGAGTCCTGGATCTACAGCCTGAGTCCTGGATCTACAGCCTCAGCCCTGGATCTACAGCCTGAGTCCTGGATCTACAGCCCGAGTCCTGGATCTACAGCCTGAGTCCTGGATCTACAGCCTGAGTCCTGGATCTACAGCCTGAGTCCTGGATCTACAGCCTGAGTCCTGGATCTACAGCCTCAGTCCTGGATCTACAGCCTGAGTCCTGGATCTACAGCCTGTCCGTCCCACTGGGTTTTTGAATTATTGTCGATGCAGGAGGGTCTAAGGACAGTGATGATGATCCAGGACACTCGACATTCAACAACATTGATTTGTTGTGTGCGTTTGAACTGTTTTGATTGATCTGTGTTGGCAAATTCAACAGTTTTGTAAAGTCCTCAGAAAGCTACAGTTGTGATTTAGGGCTATACAAGAATAAATTCAATTGAATTGAATCGATAACGCTATTCCCGAACCCTATAGGACATTTACGCACTTTTAATATTATTTATGGACATTGGTCATCCACTCCCTATGGACCAATGGCTCCTATGTGTTTGTTATTATTGTAATGCTGTGGCCGTTTCACTCTCTCATCTGTTGTTGGCAAACAGACAACTGAGATTTAGGGCTATACAAAAATACATTGAATTGGGTTAAATTTAATTGGTGTGTGGTTAGTAAAATAAGACTGCTATAATCAATGTTTACTTTAGTTGCCAAATGCGTGCCGTGAGACCATTTAGTCTTGTTCCCGAAATGATTGCATTAATGGAAAGAAGTTAAAGCTGAGGTACTTAAAAAAAATCGGCCAATGTATTAAAACTAGTTCCACAAGTTTTCACATCCATGTACAGTATTTTTGGCCACTGTCAGTTCTTTAAATCAGCTTTTTTCAGACAGAAATGTTAAAAAGAGAGGACCGCCCTCACTCAACCAATCTGGTCTCAGTCAAATAGTGACTCCCAGTGCTCTTTCTCAAAATTATGCAAAAAATGATGTGTTTTTTGATGAAGACAGTTGTGATATGATTTGTCACCAAATTTTACAGTCCTCTTTCTCCTGCAACAAACAGCATGTATTATTTATGAGAAAAGTTAGGTACGCCAGCTTTAATATCATTTCAGCTATTCATCGGCTTCGTGGGTGAGCTATGTGTCAAAGAAGGTGGTCCCGGTCTACAATAACAAGTCTTCACTATGATTGGTCCAGTCTTGATTACATCCAACACATTTTTAAAACTATTGTTCAACGGTTTGCGATAAGCCAAAGTTACGAGACGTCTTTGAAAGCATCACAAGGCTTGACCCATCGGACAAAGCGCATGTATGGAACCAGAATCAGACCAGAGAAATAAAAAAATACAGCCTAAGAAAGGTTTTACCCCAGACCAGCTCTCAACATGAGTTTAGTCCCTGCTCTAGACCAGCTTTGATACCCTTTGATTATTTGAAAGTGCAGTTTATGTCTCATTCTGTCGTGTGGTGAAGTGAAGGAGCACCCAAAAAGCGGGAATGCAAAAATAATGATTTCATGAATTATTAAAATAAAGGTCCAGGGTAAGAACAAATCAAAAACACAAATGAAACTCAGGAATGTAGACAGACGTAGAAAGACAAGGACAATGGCCCAGCAACAAGAGGAGCACAGGTACATATAGAGTAGACACACAAAGGTGTCAAAATAAAACAAAATCCACACCATGACTCAATCGTACATGAGGGACTCCAAAACGTGTTATGTTATCTTACCTGTGTCTGTCCTTGTAACTGTGACTGTAACTTTGTGCTGTTCTCTGTACTATGTTTGTATTTTCCTTCTGTCAATGTTTCTTTTCCTGCCTTAGGACAACGGATGCAATTTAGCTCTCCCGCTAATTCTGGTACATTTACATTGATGCTTTTGGCTGACGTGTTGATTAATGTGCACTGTCCTAATTCAAATAAATAAATAAATAAAAAATAAATAAATAAATAAAAGAGTATCGTCATCTGAACCTGGATCTAGTTTCGAGTCCCATTCAGAAGGCATTTACAAATTACAGATGTTTTTATCTCAAAATCAATTACACAAACTTCCATACGGTACCACAAGGTTTCAATTCACACAGGAGCTGGTATACATCATAAATATTCTTCAAAAGAGAACGTCAAACTTGTTGATACTGTAGTTTTTAAAGGTGAATAGGTGGATTTTTTACCCCAAATTTTAGGAAAGAACCGCTCTCTCCACTTTTTGAAACAATTCTCTGGTCTTATTTAACAAGCACATATCACCCGGAAGTAGAACATCATCCTGCATATCTTTAATGTTGAAAAACGTGTGATTTTTGAAACTCTCATACTGGCATATTGCATTGTCAATCCTGTCAGTCTGCAAGGGCAAAATATACAATAGTATTTAACCACAAACTTGGAGCTGAACAATTTCTGACAAACAAAGCAAATCCTGTGTATTTTAAAACCTCGCTTGCATCACCAACACGTTTTTGTTGGAATAAAACACTAATATGGACGGGCGATAGATCCAGGACCTAAGCTACAGAACGTGGACCAAACAGACTTTTTGTGGACAGACTCTTTGCAATGTGGTAATTGCTACCAGTCACATTCACTACCATCGTGATTCATGTCGCAGCCTCCAGCCCCCAGCAGGCGTCCCACTAAACGTGTTATAAATTATACAATGGTTTTCACATGTTTTAAAATAAATTAAGTTTAACAAATGCCAAGATGGCAGTAGCTCTGTTGGTAGTGTGTGTCCTCTGTGTTGTAAGTCCTGCTCCAGACATAAGCATCTTTGGTTGAGCCGTCACTGTCCCGCAGGTGTGAAACCAGCTCCCATTGGTGGTTTGGGTTGCCGTGTGTGCTTGGGCAAGACAACCCGCCTCGCCCCCAGTGTCGGTGCATGAATGTGTGCGTTCATGGGTGATTGGTAACTTGATGTGAATCGCTTTGAGTGCCTTGATTAGGTATAAAAGCGCTATGTAAATTTGACCATGTGACCAATTACCAACTTTTGCCAACCATATATGAGGCTAAAAATGTATTTATTTTATTTAAAGAACATTTTGCAGTAGCATTAAAACAATGCTCAACTAGACTTATCAAGTTACATCTGTAGTTCTTTGTGATCACTGCAATGATCAGCATAAAAAATAAAAAAAACAGGCAACAAATACAGCATCTCAGCAACATTATGAAAAGCAGCAGGGAGGAAGCTTCAGATTCCAGGTTGTAAGATAACAATAGCCGTACCACAAGGGCTGTCCTCGTCCTTGGTGCCGTCTATGGTTCCGTCCGGTTGCATCTGCAGCTGGAAGCCCTGCCGACTGGAGAGCCTGGTCACTATCCCCTTCAGCTGGGGCTCTGAGGGCGACACAGAGGAGAGCGTTACATGAGAACAAGCTGCTGTTCTGTCTGTTCTGCACCGGAGCCTAAACATGCGCTGCAAAAACAAACATCTGAACTTAAGCAGAGCCCTGGATCTGTCAGAGGAGAGCAGCCATGGAGCTGATGGACCGAGACAAGGAGCTGATGAGCATCGAGCAGTGATGCAGACTGAGCATGAGGGAGACATGTGGACACACACAGACACATGTGAACACACACAGACACACACAGAGACATGTGAACACACACAGAGACGTGAGGACACACAAAAAGACACGTGGACACACACAGAGACATGTGAACACACACAGACACACACAGAGACGTGAGGACACACACAAAGACATGTGGACACACACACGGACAGATCAGTGATGTGAAGCAGCTGGGACATGACAGCACACGGGACTGAGGTGTGAGTGATGATGATGTTGATGTCTCCGCTGTCTCGAACCTGGAGGTCGCTTCCTCTTCCGTTTCTTCCTGGATCCGAACAGTTTGACTCGGGAGAACACATTGAGTTTACTGGGTTTCTCGTTGGCGCCTTTGCTGTTGCTGGGGCTGGTGCTGCCGCGGCACTGGTTCTGCTTCTCCCGCTCCCGCGCCTGTCGCTTCTGGCGGATGAGGGAGCTGGCGATGGCCGCTGCCCGGGACATGCTGAGGCGGCTCAGGGGCCGTGGGGCGGGGGTCTACGCCGCCCACGGGGCCGTTCACATCAGACACGCAGCCGCTGCGGGCTCGGACTCCTCCATCGCTGCGTGAGGCTCATGGAAGTCCTCAAACAAATGAAGAGGTATGGCCCCCACGCACGAGCCTGTCCCGGGAGAGCGCGTGACAGACACGAGGATCCAGTCCAGGTCCAGGAGCAGAATCAACAGCCTCCACAGCCTCCACAGCCTCCACAGCCTCCAGCTGCCGCTTGCTCCGCTCACTGCAGCTGCCTCCTCCGAAGCACCTCCTGATTCCTCCGGAGCCTCTCTGCTGGAACGACTCCTCCTAAGTCTCTCCTCCTGAACACCTCCCCTTGAGCACCTCCTGTGGAGCCTGTGCTCCGTGACACTACTGCAGCAGTGGAAACTCAGTCACAACACGGCGGTTTGTCAATGGAAGAGCGGAGCATGGTGCAGCTGCCGTTCATAAAAGTGCTGCAGCGCTCGTGCCCGCGCCACATGAAGAGGAGGCTTTGCGCGTGCGTGTACACGCGAACGTACGTGCTCGTGAAGAGGCACGAGGGAGGGGGCACCTGTAGCCCGCAGCCCACGTGGAATGATATTTACATGGAGAGGGTGAAGGAGGCGGGGAGCGGGGACAGGTGAATGAATGAAAGTGCACTGTGCGCGTGCTCACATGTGAGCGCGCGTGCACGTGGGGGTAATGGAACAGGGGGGTGGGAGAAAATGAGATATTGAGTGTTTGTGCGCGGGTCTTGGTCACGTTATGGGCACATTCATCTCAGACGTGTCACACAGAGCAGCTCTACATCCAGAGAGATACATGACTGAAGAGGCCGCAGTGATGGACGTCTCACTCTGTGGCCATAACACGCACGACACGTAACAGTGTTTGATTGTCACTTTACCGTAAGCTTCTTTCACTGCTGTGTGCGCCACAAGCTTGACTTTCAATCACATCATGAACGGAACAACACAGTTTGGACTGTGACACATGTAAAATCTGGACTGTAACACATGTAAAGTCTGGAGTGTAACACATGTAAAGTCTGGACTGTAACACATGTAAAATCTGGACTGTAACACATGTAAAGTCTGGAGTGTAACCTGTAACAACAGCCCTGCTCATTAAGTCTGAGCTCACATCGCACGGACTGTAGCTGTGGCCCCCGGGGGCAGCAGGTGTGACATGAGTTTCTTCTCGAAGGCAAAAAGAACACGTTTGCAGCATTTGTTTTGTCCCGAAGGTTCCGCTTTGTTTAGCTCCAGTTAAGTCACATCTCGACACTTCAGTGGCTGCATTGATCGAGCAGAAGCGCTTGAGGGCAGAGGGAACATCAAATTATACCTGAAAACAACAACTTTTATTAGATTCGCAAAAGAGCAGCATTCTAATTGTGGAGTTGGTTATGATTCGTTTAGACCACGGGCTGTTAATAATAGGATTTGTTAAAGGTGCTGACCTTTTTGGTATCCATAGAAACAACTGCTTTAGGAAACCACAGTATACCATAATGAGGCCAGGGCCACCTGAAGATATCCCTAGGCCCCGGGGCTTTCTCAGAATTGTAGCCCCCCCTCGCTACAGTATATTATTCCTAGATGTATCCAAATACAAGTTAAACAATCTTTCACTATGTTTTGTCAAAAATATCAATATTTAAAGCAAAGAACTACAATAATTCAACTAAAACAGACAACTATGAAAAAACCTGCTCCAAGCATATGTCAGAAATAATACAATTAGCGCTATACACAATGCAACAGCTTTGAACGCTCCATTGCCCTGTGCTGCTTAACCAGGCAATTCAATTCATTTCCAATCAATTTATTTCAGACATTTTCGACAATGTCAAAAATGGCAGGGACTTGGGAAAAAATGGGTCAAAATAAGGTCTAAAAAGGGTATAGGAAGAAGCTAAAGCAAGATATTAAACAATTTGCGTCATTCTTTGCTGACACAGGAGGGTGTAAGGACAGAGATGATCCAGCACAGATACAGATTAGTGAATATTTATGGACAGTGGTCATTCAGTGGGGTTTGTTATTATTGCATTTCCTGTGTTTTCGAAATGTTTGATTTTCTGATCTGTTGATGGTAAGGTTATACAAAAATACATTGAATTGAACGAAACAAAATATGGTCTATGGTCTTGATCTTGTTTTGTTCAGCACTTCGAGTTGCCTTGTTTATGAATTGTGCAATACAAATAAACTTGCCTTGCCTCGCCTTGCCTTGCCTTTGGTGAATACTGTTAAATCTGGAAACTTCTACATTACCCCGCCCCTTCTGACTAAATCTGGAATCAGCATCCAATCACATCTCCCCGACATCACGCTTATGCACTGGGTATAAATATTGTAGTGTTATATTTGCTTCAGTCTGAGCCTTAACTTTATCTCATCACATTTTCATTATTCATCCATATACAAGAATACGTTTATTGAAACTAAGATCTGCTTCTCTAACCGTATACTGTATCTACCCTCGAGTTTTGCCTGTACTAAAGCAAAGAAAATCTGTCAGAAGCAACAACAAAAAAACATATTTCAAAATCTGTGCATGTCTTTCTTGATATCACTGAATCTTTCATGACTCCAATGCTATACAAGGGAACGAGTGCTTCTGTCTGTGCTGAGAAGCTTCCGGCACATCCTCAGCAAATGCAACACTGAGAATGGAGGACATCATGGGGGAAGGAGAGGATAAGGAGAGGGTCAAGATGTGTAGAGGCGAAGATGTTTACCTATCGATCGCCCCCCGGCTGCTCAGATCTAAGGCAGTGTTTTTCAACCAGTGGGCCGTGGTACGTTGGTGAGCCTTGATATGTTTGTTAGCGTGCCTTAGAAATGATCCAATGTATTTTGTTGTGTTTGTTTGATTTACTACATAATGCACATAATGATGAGAAGGACTTTGCTTTGTTAGTAAAGTCTGTAGAGCAGGGGTCTCCAACCTGTGGCTCGGGAGCTACCAGTAGCTCGCCAGCCACTTTCAGGTAGCTCCCCAAAGGATTTAGAATTTAACACATGATCTTGAGAGTCATTACATATCTGTTATAAGTATAAATATAGGGTTTAGTTTAGTTTAGTTTATTTGAGCAGTTTCCATTTGTGTTTTACATTCACATCTTTGTACATTATTACAATTATTTACATTAACATTTTTGCAAAATAAAAATAATAATAAGGATTGAAAAAGAAAAGGAACTACCTCAAAAGGAGTAGGCCGAAGCAAGAAAGCTTATAAGTGCCTACAACAGATTATACAGTATTATAGGATTATACAGGTTATACAGTATTATAGGATATTTAACTTGTGTTCTCTCTTGTCGTATAGATCTTTATTATGACTGCAAAAAGGAGTAGCTCTCTGTCTCTTCTGTTGTATAGAAGTAGCTCTCTGCCTCTTCTGTTGTATAGAAGTAGCTCTCTGTCTCTTCTGTTGTAAAGAAGTAGCTCTCTGCCTCTTCTGCTGTATAGAAGTAGCTCTCTGCCTCTTCTGTTGTATAGAAGTAGCTCTCTGCCTCTTCTGTTGTATAGCGGTAGCTCTTTGCCTCTTCTGTTGTATAGAAGTAGCTCTCTGTCTCTTCTGTTGTATAGAAGTAGCTCTGTCTCTTCTCTTGTATAGAAGTAGCTCTCTGTCTCTTCTGTTGTATAGAAGTAGCTCTCTGTCTCTTCTGTTGTAAAGAAGTAGCTCTCTGCCTCTTCTGCTGTATAGAAGTAGCTCTCTGCCGCTTCTGTTGTATAGAAGTAGCTCTCTGCCTCTTCTGTTGTATAGAAGTAGCTCTCTGTCTCTTCTGTTGTATAGAAGTAGCTCTCTGTCTCTTCTGTTGTATAGAAGTAGCTCTCTGCCTCTTCTGTTGTATAGAAGTAGCTCTCTGTCTCTTCTGTTGTATAGAAGTAGCTCTCTGTCTCTTCTGTTGTATAGAGGTAGCTCTCTGTCTCTTCTGTTGTATAGAAGTAGCTCTCTGTCTCTTCTGTTGTATAGAAGTAGCTCTCTGCCTCTTCTGTTGTATAGAAGTAGCTCTCTGCCTCTTCTGTTGTATAGAAGTAGCTCTCTGTCTCTTCTGTTGTATAGAAGTAGCTCTCTGTCTCTTCTGTTGTATAGAAGTAGCTCTCTGTCTCTTCTGTTGTATAGAAGTAGCTCTCTGCCTCTTCTGTTGTATAGAGGTAGCTCTCTGCCTCTTCTGTTGTATAGAAGTAGCTCTCTGCCTCTTCTGTTGTATAGAAGTAGCTCTCTGTCTCTTCTGTTGTATAGAAGTAGCTCTCTGTCTCTTCTGTTGTATAGAAGTAGCTCTCTGTCTCTTCTGCTGTATAGAAGTAGCTCTCTGCCGCTTCTGTTGTATAGAAGTAGCTCTCTGCCTCTTCTGTTGTATAGAAGTAGCTCTCTGTCTCTTCTGTTGTATAGAAGTAGCTCTCTGTCTCTTCTGTTGTATAGAAGTAGCTTTCTGTCTCTTCTGTTGTATAGAAGTAGCTCTCTGCCTCTTCTGTTGTATAGAAGTAGCTCTCTGCCTCTTCTGTTGTATAGAAGTAGCTCTCTGCCTCTTCTGTTGTATAGAAGTAGCTCTCTGTCTCTTCTGTTGTATAGAAGTAGCTCTCTGTCTCTTCTGTTGTATAGAAGTAGCTCTCTGTCTCTTCTGTTGTATAGAAGTAGCTCTCTGCCTCTTCTGTTGTATAGAAGTAGCTCTCTGTCTCTTCTGTTGTATAGAAGTAGCTCTCTGTCTCTTCTGTTGTATAGAAGTAGCTCTCTGTCTTCAATTCTGTTGTATAGAAGCAGCTCTCTGCCTCTTCTGTTGTATAGAAGTAGCTCTCTGCCTCTTCTGTTGTATAGAAGTAGCTCTCTGCCTCTTCTGTTGTATAGAAGTAGCTCTCTGTCCCTTCTGTTGTATAGAGGTAGCTCTCTGCCTCTTCTGTTGTGTAGAAGTAGCTCTCTGTCTCTTCTGTTGTATAGAGGTAGCTCTCTGTCTCTTCTGTTGTATAGAAGTAGCTCTCTGCCTCTTCTGTTGTATAGAAGTAGCTCTCTGCCTCTTCTGTTGTATAGAAGTAGCTCTCTGCCTCTTCTGTTGTATAAAAGAAGGTCTCTGCCTCTTCTGTTGTATAGAAGTAGCTCTCCGATTGAAAAAGGTTGGAGACCCCTGCTGTAGAGTTTCAACATGTATCAAATTCACTTGGTGTTGGTGTGCCATGTGATTATTTTGCAGTGACAAAGGTTTGCCACGGCTCAAAAAGGTTGGGGAACACTGATCTAAGGGTTTCTCAAACTCGTCTTTCCAAAACTACAGACTACATACTGTATCAGAAGTTATATATTTATTGGCCCCTATGACCAGTAATCTACACTTTAAGTCACTAATGCACTAGGACTAAAAACCTGCACTGCTATTGCCACTCTTCTTTAAAGACACTGCTGTCTTTTGCACAAATCTGAGTGATTCTATCTATACCAAATGTGTAAAGTGTGTAAAGTCTATCTTATCTTATCTTATCTTGATACCCTAGCGGCACCTGAGTCCTCTAGTGCTGCCCCTTTTATTAGGCACAGGTCACACAATGCCCACAGCGCCATCGTGTGGTGAGGTAAAGGTACATTTGGGCCCCTGCAAGATGCTTACACTATATAATGAAAGGTGTGTATTTGGGTC